TGTCCGCCATCTTTATTTCTTTGAAAAACCTTCTTTTTCGAACTCCTCCTAGACCGTTTGTCCGATTTCACGAAAATTGAATCGTATCATCTCCAGACGGTGCCGACTAAAAGTATGAATTGCACGATGATAGACAAACCGTTTCGTATACCACAGCATCAAATTTTAGGCATGCTGCCAAAAATGACTATTTAGGCTTTATCTCTGCAATGCCTTCACATTTTGACACCAAACTTTGCATGTGTCATTGTCACCTCACTCTGCCACATCACATCTATTTCGTAACTGCGCCACCTATTGTTCGAAAGTGAATAATCCATTAAATCATCTTATAAGTTAATGTTTATGTGATTTTCTTAGCCATTTGCCCAAAGTTCTCTCAAAATGCCCTTAATTGCTCCTTGCTGCAGTTGGTCTGCCACTCCCTTGCCATTTTGGCATATGTTGCCGCTTATTGCGCTTGGCCCCGGTAATGGCTGCTTGCAGGCTATATTTATTATTTATTATTGTTATTATTATTCTTTACTTCTTCGATCTGGGCGTCTATGGCAGCCCATAGACCGGTTTGCGGGAAAGTTTTTTGGTTTGACATTCTGATAGAGGACAGTCCCAACTTTAAATACACCAATTTTGGTGTCTCTAACTCATTCCCTCTAGCGCCACCAACTGTCCAAAGTTTCACTTTTATTATGCTAATAACTTTTGAACCGTAAGGCCTATCAACAAATTCTTTTTTCCTCTTGTTCCTGAGCTCATGCCGATTCGATCGCACCCTATGACGTCATTTTCCGTCATAAAAAAAGGCCGCCATTTTGAATTTCCAAAAAACCTACTTTTGCGAACTCGTCCTAGACGGTTTGTCCGATTTTCACCAAAATCGCACCGGATCATCTCCAGGCAGTGCTGACAAAAAGTTATGGAATTCAAGATGATTCGAATAACCGTTTTCGATAAACGCACAAACTAATTTTACGTAGCGCTTGCGAAAACAGACGTGAGGTTGTATCTCCGCAACGCTTCATCCTATTCAGACCAAACTTGGTACGTGTTATCACAAGCATGACCTGAGGCTACATGCAGCGTTTCGGCGCAGCGCCACCTAGTGGTCCGGAGATATGAAAAATGGCTATTTTTGCTCGTAACTTCTGAACGGTTTGTCCAAAAATCATAAACTTCATCTCGTTAGATTCAGGGCGTCATGCCGAGTCGACCGATATCCAATTTTCCCAGATCGGCCATTTTGGCTGTCGGCCATTTTGAATTATGTGCTAAAATGCTGTATTTTTTGAACGCATGAACGAATTGTTACGAAACTCGGTATGGGTCATCAGTACGATGCCCTGAAGGAGCCTGAGAAGTTTCGAAACAGCGCCACCTAGTGGTGAATTTTTTTTTCAAACGCTTATAACTTTGGGTGTGGTACACTTATTTTCACGGGAGTCATCTTTTTGAGTTCCTGAATCGTTGCCGAGTCCAACGATACTAAACATGCTGGGTTTCGTGTTACGGTTGGTGTAGCGTAGCGATTTAGCGCGAAAAAAACACTTGGCGATATCTTCAAAACCGCTGTTCCGATCGAGACGAAACCACCGCCAGAAACACGGAATCATAGCTTGTTAACTATACGCTAATGCCCAAATGCGAAAATATTGATAGTAAGGGGTAGTAAAATTCAAACAAAGTCATGTGTCAGTCATTTTTTACGTGTTTTTTCATATAAATGTTTATAACTCGGAAGTGAATTGAGATATTTCACCAAAATTGACACACATATGTATGGGGTCACTCTGAGGACACATAAAAAAAATTGTGGGACTGAGCCTCTTGGTGGCGCTATAATAGAACAAAACGTGAAATTCCCATTGACTTCAATAGAGTTTTGTGAAATAAAATGCTATACTAAACAAATGCATTGGTGTAATATTACAAAACTCAGTGTGTGCCATAAGCAGCATGCCCTGAAGGTACTCAAAAGATTTTGAGACAGCGCCACCTGTTGGTCAAAAGTTATAATTAATTTCTGAGAACGCTAATAACTTTTGAATAAATTTGCCTATTGCAATGAAACTGATCTTAATAGATTCCTTTGGTTATGCCGAAAACATAGATATCAGGTTTTCATAATCAGACAAACTTCTGTTCGCCATCTTTATTTCTTTGAAAAACCTTCTTTTTCGAACTCCTCCTAGACCGTTTGTCCGATTTTCACGAAAATTGAATCGTATCATCTCCAGACCGTGCCGACTAAAAGTTATGAATTGCACGATGATAGACAAAACCGTTTTTGTATACCACAGCATCAAAATTTAGGCATGCTGCCAAAATTACTATTTAGGCTTTATCTCTGCAATGCCTTCACATTTTGACACCAAACTTTGCATGTGTCATTGTCACCTCACTCTGACCACACATCTATTTCGTAACTGCGCCACCTATTGTTCGAAAGTGATAACCCATTAAATCATCTTATAAGGTAATGTTTATGTGATTTTCTTAGCCATTTGCCCAAAGTTCTCTCAAAATGCCCTTAATTGCTCCTTGCTGCAGTTGGTCTGCCACTCCTTGCCATTTTGGCATATGTTGCCGCTTCTTGCGCTTGGCCCCGGTAATGGCTGCTTGCAGCTATATTTAGGGGCCAAGCACCGAAGGTGCGGAGGCACCTATTGTATCTGTTCCGGTTCTTATTATTATTATTATTATTATTATTCTTCTTCCGACTGGGCGTCTATGGCAGCCCATAGACCGGTTTGCGGGAAAGTTGTTTTGGTTTGACATTCTGATAGAGGACAGTCCCAACTTTAAATACACCAATTTTGGTGTCTCTAACTCATTCCCTCTAGCGCCACCAACTGTCCAAAGTTTCACTTTTATTATGCTAATAACTTTTGAACCGTAAGGCCTATCAACAAAATTCTTTTTTCCTCTTGTTCCTGAGCTCATGCCGATTCGATCGCACCCTATGACGTCATTTTCCGTCATAAAAAAACGGCCGCCATTTTGAATTTTCTAAAAAACGTACTTTTGCGAACTCGTCCTAGACGGTTTGTCTGATTTTCACCAAAATCGCACCGGATCATCTCCAGGCAGTGCTGACAAAAAGTTATGGAATTCAAGATGATTCGAATAACCGTTTTCGAAAAACGCACAAACTAATTTTACGTAGCGCTTGCGAAAACAGACGTGAGGCTGTATCTCCGCAACGCTTATCCTATTCAGACCAAACTTGGTACATGTAATCACAAGCATGACCTGAGGCTACATGCAGCGTTTCGGCGCAGCGCCACCTAGTGGTCCGGAGATATGAAAAATGGCTATTTTTGCTCGTAACTTCTGAACGGTTTGTCCAAAAATCATAAACTTCATCTCGTTAGATTCAGGGCATCATGCCGAGTCGACCGATATCCAATTTTCCCAGATCGGCCATTTTGGCTGTCGGCCATTTTGAATTATGTGCTAAAATGCTGTATTTTTTGAACGCATGAACGAATTGTTACGAAACTCGGTATGGGTCATCAGTACGATGCCCTGAAGAAGCCTGAGAAGTTTCGAAACAGCGCCACCTAGTGGTGAATTTTTTTTTCAAACGCTTATAACTTTGGGTGTGGTACACTTATTTTCACGGGAGTCATCTTTTTGAGTTCCTGAATCGTTGCCGAGTCCAACGATACTAAACATGCTGGGTTTCGTGTTACGGTTGGTGTAGCGTAGCGATTTAGCGCGAAAAAAACACTTGGCGATATCTTCAAAACCGCTGTTCCGATCGAGACGAAACCACCGCCAGAAACACGGAATCATAGCTTGTTAACTAAACGCTAATGCCCAAATGCGAAAATATTGATAGTAAGGGGTAGTAAAATTCAAACAAAGTCATGTGTCAGTCATTTTTTACGTGTTTTTTCATATAAATGTTTATAACTCGGAAGCGAATTGAGATATTTTCACCAAAATTGACACACATATGTATGGGGTCACTCTGAGGACACATAAAAAAAATTGTGGGACTGAGCCTCTTGGTGGCGCTATAATAGAACAAAACGTGAAATTCCCATTGACTTCAATAGAGTTTTGTGAAATAAAATGCTATACTAAACAAATGCATTGGTGTAATATTACAAAACTCAGTGTGTGCCATAAGCAGCATGCCCTGAAGGTACTCAAAAGATTTTGAGACAGCGCCACCTGTTGGTCAAAAGTTATAATTAATTTCTGAGAACGCTAATAACTTTTGAATAAATTTGCCTATTGCAATGAAACTGATCTTAATAGATTCCTTTGGTTATGCCAAAAACATAGATATCAGGTTTTCCATAATCAGACAAACTTCCTGTTCGCCATCTTTATTTCTTTGAAAAACCTTCTTTTTCGAACTCCTCCTAGACCGTTTGTCCGATTTTCACGAAAATTGAATCGTATCATCTCCAGACCGTGCCGACTAAAAGTTATGAATTGCACGATGATAGACAAAACCGTTTTCGTATACCACAGCATCAAAATTTA